CATCATCGACAGAGGTTCGGTCATTTTTAAAACGTGAATGCCACACCAAAGTTTGCGGACTCCCCAAATGCTTGCTTTAGGATTTCATAGGTTTCCGTAGCCGTTTTGGCGAGTCTTTGGCCAAATTTGATGCACACGCCATTCCGAAATCGCAGGAGGGTCGGTGTAATGCACTACCAAAACGCCCGTAACTAAGAAACAAATGCTAATTCGATGATGCCGGCTGGGCCACTGATTCACTATGAATGTAGGCCGCACCCCCTAGCGGCAGAAGCTCGTACTACATCCGGTTCGCCCTCTATTGACACAGTCTTGAAACTTTCCGATCGCACCTCGTATTATGAAGTTGAATCCAGATTCAGTAGGTAAACTCCCTCCAAAATTACATTTGCCTTGATGACAGAATCCACAGTAACATGATTATATACTGAATGTATTGATTATTTTTATGCATGGACATGAATTAAGCCCTGGGTTAATTTATTTCATGCGTATTAAAAATTACACCGAACTTAAATAAGATTCGATGTTCTCACAGCAATGAAGACGTTGATGTTGATCTTCTGTGTAGTAACGCCTTGTGGACTTGTAGGTAGAACTAGCATTTCAGAGTAACGTACTGTCTCCATCTTCAGTGCTGAAATGAAGTACTCGAACCAACCAGAAAGCTAATGAAGATAAAGATGTAAGATTTTGGGTTTCTACGGCAGTGAGTCTGAAGATTGCTGCCTCCATCATCGCCCTGATGATGGAGGCAGCATGACCTCTGAAACGTTGGTAAACTTTTATCAGACTACACGGTGCAACAACCCAGAAGACGGAAATCTTTGAAGATAAAGATCTTGTGAAAAGTTACCCTTTATTTGTTAAACCATTTCTGTTCTTGAAGTGCGATCTGGCAATTTGTTCCTTGTGAAAAGAACATTGGATTGACGGATGTCTGTGGGTTGAGCCCAGAAAGGTTACATCTTTTAAATTGTACCCTGGTATTTGCCATTTTACAAATAAGTAAAATCATGGAAATCCTCAGTCAATGTTGCCAAATAATGTCGCTAATCATTGTGTTGACTTGGCCGCGTTATTACGGCCATGCTGAACTGTGGTCACTCTTAGTTAACTGTGGGTGACTTCACACAGCCCTTGGTAGGAAAAAGTACCTTCAAAGTTGTTGAACTAAGGGGTTTCCCACATCAGACAATTTTCATTTGGACCTCTCAGTTACTGCCCTGATATGGTAGGAAAAAAATATGACCTTGAAAACCAATGGAATTTTTCTCTTACCACTGTTGAGTGAGCCACGGTGGTCTAGCGGTTAGAACGCTGGCCTTGTAATCCGGGGGTCTCGGGTTCGATTCCCGGCGGGGCCCGAATTTATAACTTGTGTTGGGCAAGGCCGTGGTCTAGGCAACACGGAGTTTTCCTCCGTGGCAGCCCAACAATTACTCCATTCACACACAGAAGAAGGCAATGGCAAACCACTTCTGGATCATCTGCCAAGAACGTATATGAACAGGTCCCAGTCCGAGAAGAGAAAAGGATGGAAGGATCCTGTTCATATGGACCTGTCGTCAGACAGAACACTAAATAAATAAATACCACTGTTGAAAGGTGCGTTAATTGTAATTCAGACACCTTCTGGATATGGGCATGATACGTGGACCTCCAGATGCGGCATACATAATCCATTATAGGATTGTGTTATAGCGTTAACTTTGTGGTTGGTACTACCTCACTGCAGCCCCCAAGTTGGACACAGTATGATTCTCTGAAATTTTCGTATCTGGCAACAAAACCAAAGAACATTACAACCCAAAGGACCAACATCTGCACCAAATTTAACTTTAGAAAATTCTTCTTCAGTAATTAAATTATATGAAATATGGTTATAATGTTACTACCTCTGTCTACACAGCGTGTTTTTCTTTTTTAATATTATATGTTCTTATAAAAAGATCTGGGCAACTGTAGTACACAGACATTAATTTTCAAGACTCCTCCTGTATACAGTGAAAACTCACAACCAAAAATATTACGAACGTACAGATACGTATAACTTTTCATCATGAACTGGAAACGAAAATAAAGAAAATGTTCTGCAGGACATAAGATTTTATTTACTGTTTTACGTTTTCGTCTTTGAGTCCATGATCTTACGTGCACAGCTGATAAAAAGTCATAGGGATATGAAATAAAAGTATCAGTAAGAGCAATACATTTTTAACAAAACTCTTTCTCAAATGATTGAAAGTATAAAAATTATACTTTTAAATTTACCAATTATTAATATAGAGATTACTGAATTTATGAATATATGACACGACACACACTTTGCATTTGAACTCTGGAGCTTGTTACATAAAATTGTAATTTCTTTGAAGTATGTTTCTGTCTCTTTCCAGATGGGGTCAATTCCAGAAAAGGAAAGAACACGTGGTCATTATTAAGACTCGTAAGTAGCACATTTTACTATTTACAGGCTTAAATTTAATTTTATTCTGGGGAATTACACAGGAGTGCTTTATTAATGTGTGTGCGCACGTGCATGTGCTTGTCGCGTCCTCAAAGTAAGTTTCCCACTCGTCCCACAGCTAGCAAACCTTATATTGCGCGAAGCGACTGTGCGTACGTGATAGAGCAATGACGTAGCATGGCGCATGCACTAACGGCACCTCCCGCGTTCTCACAGTAGCATCGTTGCAGCTGTTGAAGATGGAGGTTCTTATTCCAGCTCCCGCCGACTGTGAAGTGCGGTCAGTGATAACGCTAAGCCGCACACGGCTCGACGGACAGCAAGTCTCCTGCAGAAGTTCAGCTGGGAGGTGTTTAATCATTCACCCTACAGCCCGGACCTCGCTCCCAGTGATTTCCATCTTTTCCTACACCTCAAGAAATTCCTGTCCGGTCAGCGTCAGCGTCAGCGTTTTGAGAATGACAGAGAGGCGGAGATGGCTGTCACACAGTGGTTCCAATCCCAGGCGGCAGACTTCTACGACACAGGTATTCAAAAGTTGGTCCCACGGAATGACCATACACTCAGAAAACAAAAATACAAAGAGAATACAGATAATATAGAGTAAAAAGAGTTTTAATGACAATTAATGGCTAATGGCTAATTTTAATTTTAATGCAGAACAGATACCAATGTGAAAAGTGTAATAAATACAGGAGCGTCACTTGAAATGGATCAGAATTGTTATCAAAACATGCCAGAAGTTCTTGTCAATTGGTTTTCACAGCTGTTTTAATATATAACTTTGGTTTTCAGGTATAAGCTACATTAAATATTGAATGGTAACTGTAATGTTTGACGGAACATTTGAAAACTTTCAACATTTGATGTGGCTTATCCCCGAAAGACGAAGTAATATATTCCGAGGGCTTATAAGATATAAATGTATAAATCTGAATAAAGAGTTGAGAGCTAAAAGTAATATGTATAATAAAAATAGTTTCATAAATGCCATGAAAGATTGTAATTGAAGGCAGAAACTTGACTGATAAACTTTTCTCACAACCGCTCATTGCAGTTCTGACTCGTCACAACTTTATATTATATCCATTTGACTTCGGTCAACATAAGTTTGATTTATTGAGCAAAATCATAACTTACCTGAACACATGAATAGTAAAAGCACCAGGAAATCTTGACTGACTGTTTTACATGTGCGCACGCACGTGTAGCATACCAACAACACCTTGTGCAGGATTGAATTCCTTTGCTAATTCTGTATAACGTGGCAAACAATATATAATTGAAGGACAGGGAGTATTAGTAACTCACAACATTAAAAATAAAACTTGTGGTTTCGTTCTTCCGCCGCCAGTCTTCATTCCACAAATGTTCCAGTTACGTCTTTTACTGTCCCAAAGCTGCGTTAAAGGCTGAACCAGTTGGCATGACCACACCTCAGCTGCTGTGTGTTGCAGCTTAGTTTTGATTTGTAGTTTTCATGGCAGTGAACATTTGCATTATGGTCTTGCAGTTTTATATGAAGCCATTACCTCTGTATTCACCGTAGAATACTGCATGTCGTAATAACCAAGAAGACCACGATCTACTTTAAAATCTTTTGCCCTCAAACGAGAACTTACGAGGCTCGTCCACAAAGTAAGTTTCCCTGGGGCCGTTTACAGAAACAAAACACAATTTCATGGAAATATTTATTGCAACAGATACAGCAAGTGTCCAGCTATTTTTCAACATATTCGCCACCGGAATTGAGACATTGGTCATACCGTGGGACCAACTTTTGAATACCTGTGTCGTAGAAGTCGCCCGCCTGGGATTGGAACCACTGTGTGACAACCATCTCCGCCTCTCTGTCATTCTCAAAACGCTGACACTGACCGGACAGGAATTTCTTGAGGTGTAGGAAAAGATGGAAATCACTGGGAACGAGGTCCGGGCTGTAGGGTGAATGATCAAACACCTCCCAGCTGAACTCCTGCAGGAGACTCGCTGTCCGTCGAGCCGTGTGCGGCCGAGCGTTATCACTGACCGCACTTCACAGTCGGCGGGAGCTGGAATAAGAACCTCCATCTTCAACAGCTGCAACGATGCTACTGTGAGAACGCGGGAGGTGCCGTTAGTGCATGCGCCATGCTACGTCATTGCTCTATCACGTACGCACAGTCGCTTCGCGCAATATAAGGTTTGCTAGCTGTGGGACGAGTGGGAAACTTACTTTGTGGACGCGCCTCGTACTTCTGAAATGGCACTTGACTAGAATTTTTGAATATAAAAGTTTTAGGAGCACTTTTAAGTTTACTTTGTGTATAAGTTCGTGTCTTTCGACGGCTTCAGTCTCTGTCTTTATTTCACCCAGACTTGTTTTACGTTTGCCAGTCACTGAGAAATTTCGGTTTAGTAAACCTGTAGATCTTTGTCCCTTGATTCTCTCTTGAAGGAAGCCTAATTATACACTTTTTTATCTTGCCTGTGTGTATAAACCCGTAGCATAATGAAATCCTCCTTGCTGCCAAATCTATTAGCCATATTTAAAATATACGTTTTGAAACTAAACAAAAAGATTTATTTGTGTTTTCATTTACATTCATCCTCAGGGCTGATGCAAAGATATTTTGTGTCTTACTGAATGTATGCGTTCTACACTTTGCCCAAAATAAGTTTTTAAAACAAATACGCATTATGATTTACAGTTTTATTTTGACAGACCGAGTAACAGTAACTTACCGACTGAATAAAGTATTCATTTTTTTTTATATTTTGTTGCTGTAACTGTTGAACTGTTTCAGATAGGTATTCAAAATTTGGTGTCCTGATGACTGAAATCAATTCTGATTAATAATTCTAGCATGACTTGCCAGACTACATAGGCACAAAAGTCTACAATTTACATTTGTCATTTGATGTACAAATACATGTCTGTGGAAAAAAGAAGGTAAAATTGGCTCCACACCAATACATGACACCGTAAAGGCTTTCTACGCCATAGTCTCAAGTTCCCAGTGTCTTTAATATAAATACTGTTCATCATGGTCTTCTCGTAAAGCTCAGTCAGTGTAGTGACTGGCTACAGATTAGACGACCAGGGTTCGATCCCCGACGGGGACAGAGAATTTTTCCTCTATCCTCTGCATCCAGACAGATTCTGGGGCCCACCCAGTCCCCTATCCGATGGGAACCGGAATCCTTTCCCGGGAGTAAAGCATGGCCGGGGCGTGATGCTGACCATTCACCCCCATCTAGTGCCAAGGTCAAGAATGAGTAGGAGCTATACCTCCTCTCCCCCCAAGCGCCTACATGGACAGCTTTACTCTACTGTGGTCTTTGGGTTATGATGCAGAGCAATCTTGTAGGTGGTTAGCGATATATTTTGGATAACATATAGCCTCCATCTACATGGTAACCTGAAGAAGGAAGCAAGACATTGGTACCATCTGCAAGAATGCTGATCATCATAACCCAGAAGCCTGAATTGACACTTTCGCTGTAGTTAATTCGTCAAATCTAATACGAATCAATTTTAAAGGATTCAGATAATGGCATATTACAGTTGGTACCAGTGGGTTAGAGTCATTTGTATTCTGTCCAGTGTTCTATTACCTGTACAGTTTGAGAGATCGAGCCGCGGGAAGGCAGGAAGTCTGTGCGGATTAGAAGAAGTCCTCAGCTGCATGCAGCGCATTGACTTTGACGACGAACAGTTATCGCGATATCGCGGGATGTGCTGGACCGAATTTGTCTCCCATGTTGAAAAAAAGAATAGTGGTGCTGGCAGTAGTAGCAGCAACAGCAGCAGTAATTCAAGTTTGGTGTCAAGCCCAGAACCACCCCCTCGACCAGTGTCTCCACCCCCTGTCGCGACATCCCCTCGTCGGCGTCTAAGAGGTGCTCTGGTACGGGCTCAGAGTGAACGCTGCTTCGAGCGACGCTTGACGGGAGCGAGGGCCATGTGGCGGGGTCTAGAAAAGACGCCTATAAAACCTAGTCCTCTGGTGACAACCCTCAGTGAGAAGGACCTTCTGGTATCACCAGGTTCAACGACCAGCAGGGCAGAGAGCAAAAGGAGAGAGGCAGTGTGGGATCTTTTCCAGAGTGAATGTGCATTTTTGTATGAGCACCTGATGGTACTAAAAAATGTAAGTACATTTTCTGTATGTGCTGCAAACAGCTGTAAGTTCCAAGTGAAGACTTTTTTTTCCCCTATCAGGACATTTATTTTTCACACAAATATGTATTGCTTTCTTAATTTAAAAAAAAATGTATTTGTTTTCCTACTTTAATATTAATATATTATTTCTTAAAATGGAGTCCAGTGATGATGAAAGTATTCCATTCATGTTATTTTCATCTTCATCCTTCCAGTTTGTGTCTGAATCCAAATCAAATATTCTGCGATTTATTACAATATCCTCAAGAATCTAGTCCATCACGTGCACGTTCGCACGTACTCGTCTGCTTCTTTCCACCGTGACAATGCAGAAAAAACGAAGTACCTGAATGTGTTCATATCTTGTCAGCAGACAGCAGGACAGTATCAAAACTTAAACATAACTAATAAATCAATGACGAATTTCATATACTTGAAAATGACAGTAAGAAACCATAATTGCCTTCACCAGAAGATCAAAGCAAATGAAATTTGATGAAAACTTTTTACTTTAGAATTCAGAATCTGTTGTCTTCCCGTCTCCTATCCAAAATGAAAAGATGAAAATATACAAAACTGTAGTTTTATTTGTTGTCATAATAGCTACAAAACTTCATCTCTGATATTAAAGTAAGAACGCAAACTGAGCGCGTTTGAGGGAGTGGTGCTTGGGCGATTGATGGACCTCAGAGGGAGGAGGTTACGTGGTGAGGAGTTTCATGGTTTGAAGCCTTCAGCAGGTGATCAGATCAAGTAGGATGAAACGGCAGGACATGTAGTGCCAGAATTACGTACAGAATGTAAACTGGTAACCTGAAGAGAAGAAACGACTTTAGATTTGAAGATGTGAACCGGAGGGCAATATTATGATTGACTTAGTGGAAGTAAATCGTGATGATTCCAATGCCATTCATGTGCCTTGTAGCAGACACTGTAATGGGATTTCATGAACACAGGATTTCATAATCAGCTGTAAAGACAGTCAATTAGTGTATCAGTCAGATGATTAATTATTTAACTTTAATCTAGCTCTCCGTACCTCACATGCTGTGTCCGTTCAGACCAGAACATTCATTAATGCTAGTCTGATAGTTACGAAAGACGAACAACAGTTGGTATGGTGACCTGCACTGGCTGATGATGAAGTTTCTTGTTGTACTAGGATTAATTTTTATATTTCGTACATAATCTTCAATAATACATGCTTCTTCTTTTTAATTTATTTCAGGTATTCATGGAACCTCTCAAGAAGATTCAGGTAGAAGGATTTGCAATGTTCGCCGAACCAGAACTTCTTTTCGGAAATTTGGATGAACTCTGCTGTGTGAGTGAATATGATGTTAATATACCAAATGGTAGGAGTTTTCTGCCCACAGATTGTCATTTTGGGACCACATATATTCTGTGTGGATAGTTGAGCCTAGGGATGGCCTAGAAATCTGTTTTGTTGATGTTTGCGAAAATTCATAGATGGCAAACTCATTTCCATCACACAATCTTATTCATCATGTCTCTTTCACTAGAGAAGTCGATGCCGCAACAAAGACAATAGCTGGCAATGGCCATCCCAGCCTGGTGCAACACAGGTCTCTGTCCTGGGTCACAGTTGGTGTCCAGACTTATGATCCACGACAAACACCCGCCCTTACATCAGATTTTCAACCACTTTTGAGCACCTGCTACAAGTCCGCACATGCAGAACCAAATTCCCAGCCCTGGTCCTATTCAAGGAATGTCAGAATTCATGAATATACCCAAACCTAATGAGTCTTGCTCCAAGACATCCGACTTGGAATTGGATCAGCCCAACGCTTGAGTAGAAAAGAGTTGAACTAATTTACATACTTCAGGTTAAATTCTTCAGAATGGAAAAAAAAAAACATTTAATTGTAACGCCTGTACATTTCACCAAGGTTGTACATCCTCAGGGGCTCCTAGGGCTAAGCCCCATTTCATTTTCAATGTAATGCGAAGAATGGCACTGAAATGACTTATAGTAAGAACATCACAGTAGTTACGTGATAGTGGCAGTACTGTCATTGGACAGGTTTAGAGCTCCTCGTAGCATATTTCACTAAAATGGAGTGCTACTGTGAGTTTTCTTGTGTTTTGATAAGTAGCTTTTATGCTCGTGTAAAAAATTTTCCAAGATTCTTTCCTGGGATAGCTCATCTGCTGTGTCACCTTCAGCTTCCAGCTCCATTGTACATTTAACTCATGAGCTGTCACCGCAGTTTAGCTCACAGCCATTACTCAGTAGGACATTCGGGTTCTGGACTTGGAACATGACAGCGAGATCGTGTTATCTCTGTTGTGAATTTTGCCGCAGTTGTAAATATGCTGAGGAATGCGTGCGGTTGCAGTCACGTTCCTTGTGGTGTCTGCGTTTAAATGCTGAGAGTGCTGAGGTTTTAGTTGAGAAGTGCGCTGTGTAAATGTCTGCTACTGTTCCAGAAGAAAAATGTTCTCATTTTCAGGTGACATACGCATTCTGTAAGGAATTTATCAGTCTTCTACTCGAGAATGTCGGCGCAGGCGGAGAACTACCAACTATTGACGTTTTAGTCAAGTTGTTTCGAAAGGTATGTTGTCTCTGGAAGCAAACTTCTGAACTGTGAGCAAGATATTTGTTCAAAATTGTTGTGTGAAATAATAAATGCATGCAACATTTTATTTGTAAAACCTGAAGAAGACCTTGACATACATGAAAGAACAATATTAATTTTTTTTTTTAAGAAGTAGAAGGGTGCAGCCCGGACATCCATCTCAGGATGACGTCCAGTGACGAGCTCCTCTGAACCTGGTAATGAGCCTTTTGAGTTCCACAACAGATGGGGAATTTTATGACTAGCTGAGAAACTGTTAGCTTATCACTAATGACATTCTTCCATAGAATGAGTTAATTTTATGAATGGAACTCAAAATGTGAGGGCAGTTTCTGTCATGAAGTGTTTTTGTAGACGTCACTTATACTTCACACTGAGCGAAGTCCAGGCACGTTGTGGGGTAGCCATTAAGGAGTCGATACACGATGCCAGCCTGCTTGTGCAAATAAGTGATTACACAAATTAGCCTCGCCTACTACACAAGCTGCTTGTGCAATATTCATTTGCTAAATGGATTACAAAAAGTTATTTTCAACTGGTAACCGGGGAAACTCCGTAAAGATTAAAGAATTCTGCTGATTTTCGTGCCACGCCAATTGCCACTGCATGTCCTGGAACTGCACGAGTATCAGCACACACTATACAAGAACAAGCGCGCGTATGATCTGAAGCTTTAACGGCGACCAAGTACAACGAATTCTTTCGGGCTGCCAGCCCTGTAAGGTGGTTGAATGGGGAAAAAAACACCAGCGTTCTGAGAACCATTTTCATCCCCAACTTCAGCTTGAGAAGGATTCATTATAACAACCACAAGGAAATATCAGAACCTTTTGAATTAGCACAAGCTTTTTGCACAGTCGGTCACCAACACAGCACAACTGCTTACACAATCACCTGTTTGTGCAGGCTGGTGTCGTACATCCAGTGGAGCTCCTGACGTCACAGCATAAAGATGTCAGCTTTGCTTTTTCATTGCATCACTGTTGAGCAGCGTTCAGGAATTTGATTTTCGTGATCAGAGGAGGTAAGACTCTCCGAGATTCACAGAAGAATGTTAGAAAACTGCATTACTTCAAGGAAGGTGTACCAGTTCGTGGAAAGGTTCCAGAAAGGCAGAATAAGCGTCGTTGAGGAAGAATGCAGTGGCCATCTGACCACTGTGGTTCGACAGAACAGATGGATTACGGCCACTGATAACAGCTAATTTACAAATGATAAAGGAGTCAAGGATGTAGTGCATACATAACCAAAAATATTCCTTCCAGATAGCATCAGGAAGTTATATATGGAGAAGCTGGTGATTACATTGAAGAATGACAGTCACTTTCCTCTTGTGTACTTTTGGTAGAATAAAAAGAAAGAAAAAAGTAAATTGCCCTCACTTTTTATGTCAGAGTCTGACGGCCGAATAATATCAGGTGGTTCTTTGAGTTTCAATATAAGGTGTATATGTGGCAGGACCTAACATGGTGAGTCATCTGTTTGGTTTCAGTAAATAAATTTTAATGTTATTACAGAATTCAGTTCATTGGATCGTGTTTGGACCGAGAAATGTGTTTCCCTCGTTGATGTTGCTCTTACGGGTTGTGGAACCATGTGGATGCACACAGATAACCAGAATATTTTACTGAGACCACAAGGCATCACAACCCAGCGGAGCAGCGTCAACATCTTCACTGCCTTAAGAACTTGAGTATGTCTTACTTTTGATAATTCAGAATGAGACAGAGACTTTATTTCAAGCTCTTGTAATTCTGTTGGGATACAATGAACTGAGAAAACAAATTATGTCCTGCGGGTAATTGTTTTTTGACTTCCGTGCCATTGTTTTGTTACGATTAGACTGTTTTTTTTAAGGAATACTGACAGAAATTTTTTTTTCAGAGTGCAGAAGCTGACTCTGTGTCTCATGCATACCACTGCTATGCCCTCAATTACATCAACGCACTGAATTACCTAGAAACGCTGAGAAGGCACGTAGAATTCTGTGAATTTGAGAAGGTCAGTAACTTATTTCTATTCCATTTTGTATGTATTCAACATTGTCAAATTTATCTTTTGGATTGTGAAGTAGTCATTGTACAAAGCAGTAATTTTTTCAATTAAATAAAGTATTTGTACATTCCAAATACACACAGAGATACGCCTGTAGTGCCATGAGGTAAAAAGTGTTTAGATATACCTCGTTCTTTGTGTCAGGGAGTTTTGCTGTCATACTGATTCACTTCATAGATTCTGACAATGAAATTTAATATTGCTAGGTTTTTTGGAATTGTTCCATTGTTTGCTATTTTAAAACAGACCACAATGTTCTGAGAACTGGCTCTGCTCCCGTCTTCAGACAGAAAAACTAATAAAAATAAATAAACTGGATTAAGATTGAAGAAAGAATGTGTGTGGTCATAAAACCGAGTGTCAGGTTTTACTGCTATATTTATAAAATGTATTAATAAGTAATTACGTCAGTTATATTTCATTCGTACAGAATAGGTTGACGAGCAAAAGTTAGTATTTTACATTGCCAGTAATTTTTTTCCAAATTGAAACCAAAATTTTATGATAAATGGCTTGTAAAATCCTAAACTGCTTCATTCTTGTCATAGTGGTGCAGCAGAGACCCGCGTTGCAAGAAACTTCAACTTACAGATTTGCTTGTCGCTCCAGTACAACACATCATGAAAGTTCCACTCATCCTCAAAGAAGTGGAAACACGAACTGAGGACAGTGCAGAAAGAGAACAGATAACACAAATTCTAGAAATTGAAGAGAATTCAATAAGTAAGTAATTAGTTACCAGTGAATACTAATGTGACTAGATTGTGTGTGCCCAGTTAATTCTTTCTGCACATTGTGCAATTCTTGAGGTTTTTAATATCCAAGTTACAAGCACAAGGGTTCTGTCGTCAAATTTAATTTCAACTGCATAACACAGAGTCAACTCGTATAAAAAATGTATTACTGTCTACAAATATTACAAGTATGTGGTCCTTCATGTTTGTTGTATGTTGTTAAGTTGCTTATAAACTTTTAAAGATTGCCCTTATCAATAATTGCCACCCTCGGTAACTAGCGGTTAGTGTGCTCGCCACTGGAACCAAGGTTCGCGAGTTCAAACCTGACTGAGGTCGATGGATTTTTAAGGATGATAAAAATCTGTAACACGACTTCCTTCGGAGGTCCCATGTCATAGATTTACGGCATGTAAAAGAACATTACGAGCATGATACGAGATGTTTCATAAGCAAAATTCAGAGGCCATTTCTCACTCAAGTCTCTCCTGATTCGCTACTAGATGGCTCTAGCAGACAAATCAGGATTCAGTAGAAATTGTACAGAGACAGCGGGCTGGGCACTCACTGCTCACAAATGAAAGCTTTAAAAGACCAAGGAAACCCCCCACATGGGAAGAGGCCAAGGCTCAGCTTCAGGCCGCTGTGCCATATAGTCAGGGTCTTTCCAATATTTATGTAAATATTTTTCATTCTGTAATTTAATCTCATAACTATATGTTGTGACTGTCATGGGCAATTATTAAAGCTGTCAAGTTTGATATCATTTATTATTTATGATAATGCCCTCTGTCTGTGATTAAATATTGCTTAATTCATGTATAGCTGTTTAGAAATAATATACATAAAACATATTCTCATAATTGATTAGGCCCTGTATATAGTCTAGTACGAAGTGGTAATAATAGATAGATTAATAGATGTTTTCTCCTTTTATGTTTTGCATAATATTGTAATTCTAAAATCACTTACAGTAATTTTATTTAATTTTACAGGGGAGCTAGATGACAAAATGAAATGGCTCAAGAATTTTGAACGTCTTTTGGAAATACAGAGGAACATCGTCTGGCCTTCCGTGTTTGAGTTGGATCCTAAGATTTATATCCCCGAGTTTCTGAAGCAAGCACTGACTAGGCAACCGTGTGATAGGATAATAGTGAGTCCGAGAAGACAGATAATAATAGAAGGTCCACTGCAGATCTGGGACACAGGAAAGCCACAAGAGATGTATGTCGTATTGTTCGATGACATGCTTCTAATTACGCGAAGGAAGAAAGGGCTATCGAAGAAGGTACAGTTATTTTTCTTGTATTAAATGTAAATATGAGTCATTACTATGAGAACGTGTATTTGAGGTTTTTCGCGGAAGTGAGTCCGAAGATTGCCGTCTTCTGGGCTGTTGCGCTGTGTAGTCTGGTAGAAGGTTGCCGAAGTTTCAGAGGTCCTTGCTGCCTCCATTATCAGGGTGGTGATGGATGCAGCAAGAACCTCTGAAACGTTGGTAAACTTCTGCTAGACTTCGCGGGTCAACAACTCAGAAGACGGCCAGCCATCGTTAGATAATACTTTGTCTGCAGAAGTCACATGTACTTTTATTTTTGGGTTGAAGTGACTCAGTAGCACATTTCTACCAGTGTTAATTTTAAATTATAGTAGCCAGAATTTATCAGGGATTAAATATAACCGGTTCATTCCCCTTTGCAACGCCAACTCCAACATTTCCACATGTATTGCTTCACAAAGTGAGGTAACAAACTAGATACAAAGAACCTAAAGGAATGAGCGTTTCAGTAAAACATTTGGAAACAATTCAACAAAATAATTCACATAAGTATCACTCACAATTTGAACAAGTTCGCATCTTCATAAGATTCCAGCATAGTCTTTATGATAAAAATACAGGACATGCAAACGAAATTATTATTTCTTTCTTAGAAATCCTCACTGTCAGAGAACTGGGCCAGTTCCTGCAGTCGCGGCTCATCGGCATCAAGCGAGTCTTCCATGCGATACGTTGTATACAAGCAACCTCTCTCCTTAGACCGCTTCTTTATCCACGACGTCACCATTCCTGAAAGTGCATCATGTCGCCTTGAAGCAGCTTTTGTTCTCGTCAGTCTCAACCGGTTCCAGCAAGTAGTAACAATCCACACCTTCCAAGCGCCTTCAGATCAGTCAAAGGTATCTTGAGACAGTTTAATTCTGGATATTGAAGGGGGGATATTATATCTTCATACCCACGCTACCTCAGCATTTGTCATGAGTTCAAGAATGTTTGACCACAAATGTTTCATACTACAAAATATACTTTTCGTTACTGACACATCCATCTTCGTGCATACAACAAACTCACCATTTTGGAAAAGGAATGATTTCTATGGAACGGAATGCGCTCTGATTCGAGTCTCGGGGGAGAAGAAATTTTCTCGTGAGCTTTCGACCGGTGTATGGGACCGGTGCCAACCCAGCATCGTGGGGAAATTTGGGAGCTACAATGAGTAGCGTAATCCGGTCAGGAAAGCTAGCAATGGCTGGGGGTTCGTCGTGCTGACAACACGTCACCCTGCATCTGGTTGGATGATCGTTCACCTCTGCTTAGGCATGTGAACGTGCAGCAGTCAAGCTAGTCGGCTTTGGCTCTCTGGAGCTGTAACGCCATGGATTTAATTTAATTTTTTAAATGATTTCTATGGAAGCCATTTAAGAGTAATTTTGTTAAATGAAAATTAATTTAAAAACTGCTTAAAGAGATATATTCAGCTGAAATAATAAATATGTAAGCAATATTGAAAGATGGTACATGTTCAGAACATATTTTTGTATTTATTTATATTATCATAATAAACAGTTGGTTTAAAATTGTTATGCATGCACTTGCCTAAACAGAATTAAATATGTAGTTTTGTGATTCTGCGCCCTCTTCAGTTGAAACAGTCATCTTTCAATAACCAATTATGATATGGCAAAGCAGCCAAAAGCAGTGTGAAGGTTTATAAACACGTTAGTTTTTGTACAAATCATATTGTGCATGTTGTGCTGTTTTTAAATTTAAGATGAATTAGAGCTGTAATAATTATGAAAAATTTACCAGAAAGGAGGTTGCATGCAACAGGAAATGTGTTTCAGCTACTGACACTTCAAACTTGCAACGCAACATGATTGCGGTAATGTACGGTCTGTGGCATGTTTGCAGTTCGTCACCTCCTAGTTTCAGTGCTTACAACATTTATTTTAGTTGTGGGTTGGTTTCCTATTTCGTGCGTAGTCTAAGCACCAATACCACACATGACAACTTCCAGTAACTGAAAGGAAGTCAGTAACTTTAATGTTTGAATTCACGCTGATGAATGCAAGGTTATTCTCTGATTGGCCATACATGAGTTTGAGGCCTTGGCTTAATATTCATTTCCTGGAATAAACTAATAAAGACTGTAAAAGTATTTGTCAGAATAGCCAGCCTCTGGGTTGAATTTTTTAACCCAAGACCTCAGTAACCTAAAACAAAAGCGCTGACTACTTAATTACCATATTTGGTAAATTTGAACCTAAAAATAAGTTTAACGCTATGAAATGACAGAGAAACTGCAGTGATGTGCTGGACTGGGATCAAGAAACGTGCACTTTAGCGCCGTCTTCAATTATGTTACAGGGAACACTTAATTTCGTTTCAAAGTATGCAGTGGTAAGTCATGTGTGAATTTAGTATAGTCATTTGACATAAATTTTTCTTCAAAATCAGATTAAATATACAGGTGGATGGTTGGACGTGGCCTTCCCATTATGCGTTCACTTTGTACACTATATATATATATATATACACACATAAAAATACATAAAGCGATAAAAGTATCACAAACACGTCAACTGTAATAAACTTAAAAATATCACAGGCCTTAATATTCGCTAGATTTAAACATTTTAATTCTTATTATCTTTGCCAGCAAACATGGCTCCTTAAATTACGAGACACTCAGGACAAGTGGAAGAGAACGCTGCAGCACACGGTATTCCGGTCGCCACGACCTTCGACGTGTAGCATCGGCCACAAGTCAACCACTTGACCGGAAAAAAGAAACGGCGAGTCTAGAGGAAAGACATGGAGTGCCTCCAGCCAAGAATCAGGACGAGATGCATAGGATCGACACACGAATCTCATTCAGGTTGTACAAATCTTGGCAAACGTCTAAGTGTATATTTTTAATGTATTTGTGTGAACACTTGTCACTTATATGTCTTAAGAAAAATGTTACTAAAGAGAATTGTGGTATATTGTTAAAATCTTTATAAATTTGTGTTGCACTTTCTATGTGAAAAGACAAGATGTTGAAAACAAATGAATTAAAGCACCATATTTTTCAAATGCTACATGAAGATAGTTTTAAAGTGAATTTTTTGTGTGTGTGAAAATTTAAGCAGATAACAAATGTACAAAATTTCTTGATGTAAGAGGAACCCCTAAATAATTTGGTTCATTATTATTGAACTAAGAGTCTTCATGAAAATTATGTCATATTGAAGTTTAGCATTTAATGCATTTAAGAATATAAACTAATAATTTCCACTTTTTTCTTCAGAAACTGAGAGAGTGTTCACTTTTTATTTAAATTTAAATATAGTGATTATTTATACATGAATTACATAAAGTATTAGTGTGAACAAGTTTACAAATGTAATATAGATTCAGATCTTAATGTATTTATGTGTTGTATTTTGTTGTAATTATATCTGTTTTTATTGTATTCTGTAAGCTCAGGTCAAAATTGGATACATTAATATTAACCTTTATTGGCCATGCATCATGGCTTATGTGGGGTCCAGCTCCCTGGCTGTGCATCAAAGTACCATACTGCTAAAGCATTACAACACTGGATTTAAAATCTGGCGATCGTCATGTGAGTAGAAGAGTTTAAATCCGCCATTCCCATATGAAGAATATTAACATATAGTTATTGTTTATTCAAAGTAGTTTACATGGAAATGTCTTACATTGGAAAGTGTGAAAAATTGTGACCATGAAATTCTGAAATGGTCAAAGTCTTTCAGAAATTTTTGTATGCCTGAAAGTAATTACTTTTGAACTGAGTGCGGTTTATACGACTTTGAAAATTATAGTGACGTATTCCTCTATAAGAGACTGCCAATACAAGTTCCTTTGTTTCCGGCTGTTCACATTACCATTATCCATAAGTTTTATTGATTGGATTTCTCGTGTTTATAATCTCAGAAGTCTACTGCCGTATGATTTTTATTTTAAATGAAAGAAAATTTGCTTTTACCTATACATAATGTAAATTTAACCCAAAAATGTAATTTCTTTTTGTAAATAATAATGTGAATTGGTTCATTTTTACACAGTCATTTCATGGGATGCTTAATGTGTAACAGATAAGACAAGCTGTGATCAAAATTCCAGACTGCTGTCTTCTGGGTTGTTGCGCTGTGTAGTCTGGTAGATTTCCGCCACAGCGCAACAACCCAGAAGACTGCAATCTTCGGACTCACCACTGTGAAAACCTCAAATCCTACAAGTGTTAACTTCCTACATTTCCCCAAGATTTTAATCTCAACCTGTCCCGTCCCTGACCGACCATCCAACCTTAGCAGTGACATTTTTTTAACAAGTAGCTCCTTATCCTTCCTCCAGGTGGACTTACAGTTTTCTGGGTTCTTGGCTTGTCGCCAGGCTGCATTTAGTTGGAAAAATTAGCTCTTTCTTGAGAGCACACTAGCAGGTGGTTGGTAGCACTGGGATATAAATTAAATCTGCGGATAAAGGGACTAGGTGACTATGTTCAGTAATAGTTGTGAATTGTTTATGGACGGGGAAGTGTATCTCCCTTATATTGTGCTATAAATTTAAGAAATGTTGGGAGGTCACCACTTGTTCAGATACAACAGTAACTTTGTTTTGGGTATGAGAGTTAACCATCTGCAATTTCTATTTCTTCTTGCCCACTGTATGACTACGTCAGATGATGTTTCTGGTTCATAATTCATTAAAAATCTAAAACGTTGGCTCTCCGAATAGGAGGTAGGGATATCTGCTATTGTGGTATTATATCTGATTCATATGTGTAAAGTACACGTGACCAATTGTCGTGACAGTCTTCCGTAATCCCTCTCGATGAATTCCTTGGTAGTGCCTTAAATCAGACAACATTCACATCTTACCCCGTGTATCTCATAGCAGCCGACTGTACTCACGTAATCTGTAAAGCTGAACCATTTCATGAAACGACCAAAGGAGAGAATGGCAATACAAAAATCTCTGACAGCGCTAGCAGCATTAGGTGATATAAGCCAGTTGACAGTAATTTCCACAGCGGACTTTGATGCAAAGAGAAATTAGGCCGGTGCACTACACCCAGCTGTGGTCAGAAGCTTAAATACTGCTTGGTGCTGGGACGTCCCATTACAAGAACCCATAGCTTTAAAGTGACGGGTGTTAAAAATCTTAAATAGATACCATGCAAAATACTAAAATTGAGTGTGTATATTATAAAACTGCCTTGCAGTACATTTCAGTATAACCTGTTGTTCTCAGGCTCTGTCATGTAACAAGTTAAGCGTTTATATTGGCATATTTTGTAACTTTATATGTATTTTATATACATATTGGTAATTGTTTTGATGTCAGTCACTTCAATTTGTAATGGATTTCTGTGACACTTTTTTTTAAAATTTGCTCAGAACTGTGTACACACTTTTGTCTCTGTCATATTCATGTGCGCAGTGAACGGTGGTGTGTTGCCGCGGGTCACTTCGCGTTCTGCCGCTGCCTCGTACCGTGTGCTGTTCAGAGCGCCGTGTTTCGATTTGTGTCGTCATCTACCGAGTATCACCAGTTATGTATTTCCAGTATGTTGTTTTTTGAGCAATGTTTTTGTTTTGTACACGCACGCACGTACAGTATACATTTTCATTGTCATTATGGTTACTGTTCCAAATTTCATTTGACCATATGTAACCACCTCAAACAACTTGCATTACAATGGTTATTGACCCTACCTTTCATACTTACCTGTTTTAGGCTTATTATTACTTACGTCAACTATTTTTTCCATTTGATAGGAAATATGATTAATATATGTGACAAATGTGATTGTATTACATTTCTGTCAGTTTGCTGAACCATCTACTCACTGTCCTGGGGAACCAAACCACCAGTAGGTTAATATGTAAGACTTTCAGATGTCAGTAATTACAGTTTTAAAGTATGAGAGTTGAAATTGCTGTTTGGAATTTCCATACCTATTGGCTTTGAATTTTATTACTCATTTATATAAATCTCTTATCGCAGATACACGCCCTTCTTTACAAAGTAAGTACAATATGTGTATCATACTGCGTTGTGTGAGATATTATTGTTTCTTGTATTTCATTAAAGACCTGCCAGTAAAAGAAGTAGATTTCAGTAATATTTATGTGTTACACTAATACGCCGCTTTTCATAAAACTGGTAGTTTTATTTTAACTTAGTGTAAATTTATCTGTTACAAATGAAAACTTAAATGTGCCTGAGATCTCTTAGTGTAGAATCCAACACCAAATTTTATCGAGATCATTTCAGTATTTTGGGGGATATAATTTATATCATAATAGCAAAAATTATTTTCCCTATGGGCATTCACTTTATGCAGTTCTCAATCCTCAAAACCAATGATAGATTTCATATGAAGTGTAAGGGGTGTTCCTGTCAAATGAGGATGTATGTTTCCAAAAATGTATTGTCAGAAGACAAAAGCATTCAGAACAAAACATGAATGGAAAAACAAATGTTAAACTATTTAACCTTCGTGGTATGTATGAGGCATAACCACTCCACACTCCACAGTTCACCATTTCTCTTACTGAAGTGTTACCTAGCAGTCTGACCAGTTTCCCATGTTAGTGCATTTTGTCATGGGTGTTGGCGATTAATACACTGAAAAAATTATTAATTTTGTTGTTCATAAACCTATGTGACTCTTTACAGTTTCATATTTTTTCACTGTCCACATGCATATATCATCTTCACGCTTAAATACGTAATCAGTGCTGAAAGAATGTACTTTCCTGATCGTACGGGCGTTATCTGTGTAACCTCCATATGTGTTCATGACGTAATACTTGGAAGCAGCAATAGCTTTGTACTTACCTTTGAGGTCAAAAATAAGGGTTCTGAATAATAATTTAAATGGTAATTATAAGAAATTAAATATTGTTATAATTATAGTAAAATGTGGTATTTGCTTTTGTATTACAAACTGATTATAATTTTCAGTTTTAATAATTTCATGTCATATTTCTGCATGAAATCCCACGGCAAGGTGGTTATTTAAAACAGAATGCAGTATTGCGTGCGTGCCCAGCAAGATGATGAAATCTTTCCGATTCTGGCGTCGGATAAGAGCCAGACTTCCACGCAAAATCATCAGTGTGTATGTTTCATGTTTTGCTGCATTGTAATTAGGATGGTAATGTCTTGGATCAGACAGCACATCAGAACCCTAAATTTATGTGGCAAGAACCCATCTGAGAGCCGCAGTGAATCACAAGAAGTGTGGAGACGATACGGTGGATTACAGCACGATGTCTCGTTCGCATCGCACTTCTGTGATAGGTGCATAAGCACCACAAATGACCCAAAGAGCAGCAGACCATCACCAGCCTTTTGGAAAAGTTTATTGCATGATGTGATGAAATTTCTCATGAAGCCTATATTTCAACAGCTTCCATTTCACAATTCTGAGTGAATACATATATTTATTTTTCCAGTCTATACACAAAACTTGTTTTAAAATAATGTTGTTTAAAATTATTTATAACATTTACAATATAAATTGCATTATGTTATATTTTATGGCGCTTTTCTGTGTCGTATAATATTACATCTATCACAGCGCTTTTGATTTCGACGACATGTTTCGATGTTTACCACATCATCATCAGGCTTATCAATTCATATATTTTTAAAAACTATTGTACATTTGTGCATTGCGTTTATTGATTTTTAATTTTCAGTCTTCATCTTAATTTGGAGTATGCATTTTGATGTTCATTATCTGTGAAATTAATTTTTTTCAAGTCGTGATTATGGATTTTGACATAGGAAATATAATAACAATTCAAAGAGTGAAGTACAGCAGAGTATAATATGAGAGAGATGTGAAATGCTAAAACAGTTTTAGTCAGAAACCCTGAAGGGGAGAGACACTGCGGACTCAAAAGTATGGATGCAAGGACGTCATCTTTGCTTCGGGGACTAGAAGTATTGTCCTGCATTGACTTTGGCCTCCCGTCGCTTCTGTGGTTGAACCAGGTGTTTTCTATCTTTAAATCCGTCTATTTGTTTCTGAAGTTTGTTCATAAAAGTAATTTTCCCTAGAGTAGATTAAGACCCTTTCCCTTGGTAAGTCTGATGATGGGGCTGCCATCTTACTGCTTACAGGCCCTTGTTTGAGTTTTCTACCATAGGCAGACTGGCTTCTGAATGCCTAAGCAGTTCTACTTGCCTGATTATTCTGCCTGAAAAACAGTCACTGTGGGTCTTTATTAGCTTCCCTCACCTCTTACCAGCCATCGATCCATCAGTCTTCCCCAGAACAGTAATTTTTGTCATTGGTCCTGAGCTTTCCAGCATCAATTTTCTAACCCCAAGGAGGTAGGACGTATTAAACTGTGTATTACAGAAGTAGTATATGAGGGTTTGGACTGAAATTGACTCGACCAGATTAATGAAAAAGGCAGGCTTTTTTGAACGTGGAAAGGAGCTTCGAGTTCATTGTAAAGTGGGGGAGTTTGTGATGAACTGCACTTTATCAACTTCTCAAGGAAGACCACACATCACTGAAATAGACGAGTAGTGAAGTGTTCAGCTAGGGTCCAAGAACAGAAAAGATTCTATAGTAATAAGTACTTTTCACATTTAATCAAGTCTTTTATTTTGCATCATGAACATAATTTTTATATGTGTCATTCGAAAGTAGGTGAGTTTTCAGGTTCTCGCAGTAATGTGTATGCAAATGGCTGTCGTCTTTTAAAACTATTTTAGCCTTGCTACAATTTCCAGTGGTTCAATTAGTTATTATTATGTAACAACTTTAGACTTCTTTCTGCTAACAAGAGATATATGATTTGAAGTTTATCGTGGCGACTAAGTATAATGAATTTTTCTCGGGTTACCAGCCGTGTAAGGTGGCTTAATGAAAAAAATGCCAACATTTTGAGAGCCATCTTCGTCCTCGTCTTCAGGGTACTGTAGCATTGTACCCTGAGGATGAGAACAAAGATTGTGGTTTAATAAAGAAAATGCCTACATTTTGAGAACTGCCTTCGTCCTCATCCTCAGGGTACTGTGAGGGTGCCCTGAGGACAAAGACAAAGATTTTTTTCAAAACTTTTTTTTTCATTAAACCAACGTGTATGGCTGGTAGCGTGAGAATAATTAATTAAACAACAGATTTACTTTCTCTGCATTTTGTTACTAGACAGTCCTTCCCTCCTTGCTTCATGATATTTTATTCTTGCTCTGTTAATTACTGTTGACAAAAGTCAGAAGCTAATTTTCTCCACTAAACTCCAGTCCTTCCTTACTGTCATGGACTTTTCTTGTGGCATCTTCTAAAATGAACTTGATAAGCAGTATTAAGTATCTCTTGTTTGAGACCATTCTAAATAGAGTAATGTATGGCACGGGCTTCAAAAAGACCATGTGTAGCTACTTTACTGTTACGTTGTACTCGGCCAGTCCCTAAACAGAAACAACGTCTTCTTCAGTTTCTACTCTCTTTGCTATTGTAAGTTCACACACACATTTTATTCATTAAAGGAGTTTATCCAAACCTGATAATTCATGTTACAGATTATATACTCAGCACTGTAAACAAATTCACATGAGTATTATATATTAAGCAAAATGCTTTTAATTCCTATGTAACTCTTTTGTCTGTACCTCGATTTCATGAGATTGGCTGGCTATTAGTTGATATGGATGGTGCTGGACATCCCGAGAGATGTAGAATTAATATTTTGTATATATTATGCTAAGTGAATATTATTTATCACAGTTTTGTACCTGGGCTTGCTTATTGTCTGTCTGTCTGTCAAACAAATGTGATAGAATCAAATGAATGGTATGAATAAATTAGTATCTGCTGTGTCTTACAGAACTGGGAATACTGTTTGCATTAAACAGGTATATTTATTATTTCATACTGGATATTAAAACATGTGTAAAAAATACGTATTTAAATAAATGTTGATCATGAGTATGTGATATATATATATATATATATATAGAATAAGTTATAACACTTTTTACTACCATCTAATGGAGATGGAACTTTTGAATGCTGAGAACAATCTATTTCCCTTTCAAAATGTCAGTGCCATATTTCAAAGACAATTGTATAAAGGATAATTTTTATAAACCTGATATATATATACACTATGTTGTATGTTTCCAGACATTTATTAAAGAAGCAATTGGGGGGGGGGGGGGGAAAACAGTTTCAAGGAATACAGAAAATTTTAATCTTAATATCATACCATAACTTTGGATAAATACTTCATATTCTTCATGTCATTATTGTCCCAAGACCTCAATTTTTACTGTTCCCATAGCAATTTTTCATTGAAGAACAAACATCGTAGCCAGCTTCACATATGTCTGATGCACAGACCAGGTATTTATTTTTAATGTTGAAGTAATAATGTTTGAGATATAAATAAAATATAATTATTGTACATAATACAGCTGTAACTTATTTTTCATATATGTATTAAAATGTCATGTGTGAACTCCCACTATACAATTATGTGATAACAAAT